AACTTTCAGTAGTGTCCTGAAAAGGGAAAGAAGACAAATCTTCAGATGTCGAAAGAGACACAATCGAATATGGGTATCTATGCCTAAATTATAAAAAAAGGGCTAAGGGATTACCTGTGGATTAACTTCAGCCCCAGGGCTGGAATTGTCACTTTCGACAGGCTTGTTAAGAAGAATGTTTAGTTCCTCCTCAGTTGGCTCTTTGATGATCACTGGAGGTGGCCTAGGCTTTCTCACAGCAACCTTTATTCTGACGGTTCGACCTTCAGGAGCAGGAGCAGGAACAGAAGCATCCTTCGTCAACTTTCGCCTTTTTAAGGGGGCAGGAGGGGAATCACTTTCTTCATCACTCCCAGATTCGACCACCAGTCCTGGCCGTTTTTTGGGCGAAGGTGCCTAGAAAACCAATGGGAATTCGATTTAATAATTACATCGAAAATCAAAATCGAAAGCCAGAAGAAAAATGAAGAAAGTCTGGTTACCGATATAGAAGGCCTCTTCGAAGAGCCTTCCCCCTGTTGGTTGCCTGTGGTCTTCGCCGGCGCTGTAGTCTTCGCCGGCGGTGGAGGTTTTGTTGAAGGGCCTCCTCCCTGTTGGCCCTCTGTAGCCTTCTTGGCTACAGGCTTTCGAACAACTGGAAGCAAATAAAAGTTAACAGGCTAGCAGTCGAAGAGAAAGAAAAAAGTAATGTGGGAGAATGAACTTACATTTCTTTATTTTGTCCAACACAAGGACAAAAGACTTCTGCAGCTCATCCATGAAGTCCTTCTCGTCGAAGAAGTACTCAGCGTAATAGCTTCTCCACCACTCCTCGAAGGATGGTGAGCAAAGGAAATTGAGCTGGTAGTCAAACAGCGAGAGGATTGTTCGACCAGCATATCTTCTGATATGCTTGATAGCAGCTTCTTCTGTATAATCATTGCAGAAGTACAGCATTGACTTCTCTCTTTGAAAAATCGGAGAAGGTAGGGTTTGGATAATACCAAACTGGCGAGATACCAGGTTTGGTTGGTAGGCAATCAGACTCAAATGAGTCTTTGAGCTCTTGAATCGAAGAGGCATGATCCTTGGTGTAAGGAACGCCTCCCACAGTATTGTGTGCTCATCGACATTAGGACCACTCGACGCCTTTGGGTGTGGCCTTGTGAACCATGCTGGCCCCACCCGCCGTTGAGCAAATGGAGCCATAGTTGAAACAAATTCCTTCCTTCGAGCAAACATTAGAACGAAGTTGGTGAAGGTTTGTTGAAACTCCAGTCCATCGTCCGTAGGTGTCAGCAGAGCCAACCTGATTCCTTCGATGCGTCTATTCGCTATCGCTGGAGCCTGTTCATTTATTTGAACCTTCTTGGGCAGGAAAGATTCGAAAGTGGCGTTGAGCCACAGTTGGAGTAGCCAAAAAGGCCCAGCGAGTAGCAAACTGGCCCTGTCCTCGATATGTTTCAGAAGAGTTGTCCCATTGCTGATCGAATCATAGAGGCTAGCCAGAATCAGTTCTGCCAAACAGATGTTTTGGCGGTGATGCAGTTGAGTAGCAAGAGTGACCATCTTTTTGGTCACCTGTAGAGACTTCGAGCAAAACACAAAGCGAGTTAGCCATAAGGCTAGAAACGCTATGTGTTCGACATCCGACACAGCATCTGTCGACCTGTCGTGATAATGGTTGATGAAAGTGGTGTATGTTGGTTTGGTCTCAGAGAAGCCAATTTGGTCCTCCGACATCTCCTCCGGATCGAAGTAATCCCCGGTTGGTCGAAGGCCAGTAATAGCGGCCACATCGAAGAGTGTGGGGGTTAGCATCCCACATGGAAGATGAAAAGTAAAGTGGGAATAGTCCCAGAACAACAGTGAAGCTATCAGCATCTCTGGGGAGTAGTTCAAACCCGTCTTCGACAGCATCACTAGGTCGAAGATTCCCATATCCTTCCAGATCGAAGTTTGGTGCTTCTCCAACTTTGTTAGCCAAGCAACATAATCGGAGGTAAGGTTAGGGCAAGACCTGAAGACCCTAACACCTCTGTTGAAGAAGCGGAGGTCGATTTTTTCACGTGCAGGGTCTTCATTGTCTTCTGCGTCTTTCTTGGCGCATGCGACTGGTTTGAGTTTCTCGACTATTGGGAAATAGCTCTTGATCTTCAGAGCTTCAGAGATACTTGGATTCATGGGGCCAGACATTGCAAAGATCTGGTTGGAGTATCCAACCGGGATCATCAAGTGGCGCGAGTAAGCATCGCGAACGGCGATGTCAGAAGGTTCAGGAACCCTTCGTTTGCCTGTAGAGTTTACTACTGGGGCAGTGACGAAAACCTTGGGTTTAGCATGTTCAGTTGGTGCGTTAGCGCTGGGAGCAGTAGAACCAGAGGCCATGGTTTGGTGTTGAGTTTGAAGTGAGGTTGAAGATGAAGTGAAAGAGGAAGAGTTTCTGCAAAGATAACAAGCTTGTATGAAAACAGGGAAGTTTAAAGGCTAGATGGCGTAAAAAGTCCCACAATGGGATATTCACTGCTATTTATAGTAGTGGGAAAAATCCCCAATAACGAGGACATTAAATGCCATTTAATGCTGCAGGAGTTAGTGGGACGCGTGGCAGCCCCCTGTTGTTTTGGCCGTTTCTGCAGAAATAGAGGGACGCAGCGTGCGTCCTCGTTTTTGGGAATTGTCATAATGACAAATTCTGAAATGACGTTTGGTACTGCACGCCGTACTGAAAGTGACGTCCTAGGATCAAATCAATGATGGTTTTCTTGGGATTGCCAATAGTTGGTAAAAAGCAACAAAAAGTGCACAAGTTAATTTGTGACTAAGCGTGAAAAGACAAGTGTCGAATGGCGTTTCAAAGAATGCCTTTTTCTGTCAGAGTCGAAATAAGGCATTCTTGGGGGGCAATTTGTTGGCTCCTAAATTCGACACTCTTGTTTTATCAATGTCAACCATCAAAAGCTGAAAGATGCTTTCGACTGGCTAAGTCTGTCGAAGTGACCGTCGAAAGATGGCAAAGTACTTAGAAGATTTCTTCCAAGGAAGAAGGCTGATTGCCTTCGACGTCGAAGGAGTTTCTCGTCGAAGATGTCTCTTGACGAAAGTGTTCGATGGTCCAGAGTGGAGCAGCTTGAAATTCAAGCGTTTGGAGGGAAAACGGTTTCCAGCAGTTACCACGTGCAAACGTGCAAGGATCTGGAGCGTCGAGCGTGGAGAACGTGCCAAGTGGATTGATCTCGAAGCAGTGTAACTGCCCGACGGTTACTTGGGATGTTTTAGTATAAATAGGAGTAGACATGTAGTTTCTCGCGTGTGTTCACAATTCTATACAAAGTCACTCATATAGATTCGAGTATCCAGCGTGTGAGAAAGAATTGTTGAGAAATGTATGTGTGAAACACCAATTTTATCAATTAAAGTCATTTACTTTTCCAGAATTTTACTTGCTTTTCTCTTTACATTTCCTGTCGAAACCCTTTACTTTAAGCCTTGTTTATTTTACCAAATCTTTCCTTCATGCAATTTACTTGAAACCTTTTTATTTAAAGCCTTATCCAATTTAATCAAACTTCAAAATCAACCTATGTCCTAGGATCAATCTGATCGATCCTGCGAGTAACCAAATAAGTAACCATTTGGAGGATCAGCGGTTGTTTACCAAAACCCAAGGTAAACAACATGGTGTTGAGTTTTCTCAACATCTCTCTCCTCCAACACACACTCAACACTACTCTAAACACACCATTGCACATGATTTTGCCATGTTGAGTTCAATTAAACACACCATTGCACATGGCCACTTAAAGAAGTAAAGTGATTCCCAATTCTAATAACGTTGTATTAGAATTGTTGAACGATACCCCTATATTGTTGCTAGACTCAATTGATACCATATTAGAATATCGAATATTAGTCATGAACCTCTTAGAATTCATGTGAATGAATTTAAATTTTTTTTTAAATTGTTTGATTTGATTACACTAAATTGAATCTAATTATATATCCTTTTGATGACCTATCATAGTTAGTACTCCCTTTGTTTTAAAGTTTTAAAATGACATTCGTTTCAGATAATTTACATACAAATTAAGAAATATAACAATATTGTTATAAAATATTACACTTTTACACAAATTAATCCTATTAATGTATTGAAAGTAAAAAATAAAAGACACAATTGAAAAAATAGTAAACATTATTAAAAAATAAAAATAACAGTCATTTAAAAACAAAATTATTTATTTGCTAAAACAAGTCATTTTGAAACGGATAGAATATAAGTTACTCCTTTAATAGTGGAAGAGAATAATAAAAGTTCAATAGAATAGTAAAGATTGAATAATTGTCTTGTGAACAATCCTTCCTTTATAAATCATTGATTGGTCTAACAAGGTAATAAGGTTCTAACTCCCGGTGAATACTTCCATGACTCACCCAAATATAATAATCAAAACATTCATTGTATCCTCGTTACATTTGACACATTTCATATTAACAATTTGCTAGAAGTCGTATTTGACTTATGTTTGATTCTACAGTGACAATAACTTTAAATTAATTGGTTCTCACTATTAATCTAGTTTTATGTTTGAATCCAAAACAAAAATCTACTAATACTCCAATATAAGCAGCAAGACAGCACATTCAATCTAGTTTTATGTTTAAATCCAAAACAAAAATCTACTAATACTCCAATATAAGCAGCAACACAGCACATTCAACAGTATACTTCAACTTCTCTCGGTTCAAACTAATTGATCAGCCATACAAGGTCATTAAGAACCTCATTACACAAAAAAAGTAGTTCATGTAAAATTTTAAACTAAAATTTTATGTGCCAAAATGTGAGTCTATAACAATTCAACAGCACAAATCCAAAAAAGTTTAGGACAAAATCTCAGATTCACTGCAATACCACTAGTAGTAGTCACCAAGAGCCTTAAACGAACTGCTTATTCAGAATCATCATATGAACAAGGAATACAAATTCCTGTATTGATGTAAACGAGGCCAAGGTTATTTTACCGCACAGGTTGTTGGTTATAATGATTCTTCTCCTTTTTCTTTGCTGCAGCGAGCCTTGCATTCCTTGCGGCAGCCTCTTGAGCAGCAGCTCTAGCAGCACCATCCATTTCTTTACTAGATTTCTTCTTCTTCATAGAAGCAACTTTCTTAATACGCTCTTTCACATCGACAACAGATGGATCCTCCTCTGCATTTTCAGTGCCTGTATCAGGCCTGTTGTTTGTTTCTGAGCTGTTGGGCTGACCATTGGATTCTTTTGCCTCCTTGGAAGCTTTATCCTTCTTTTTCTTCTTTTTGGCATTCTTGGACTCTGCAACAATTTCTTTCTTTTCGCCATCTACATCTCCATCAACCCCTTTCTTATCATGGGATGCGCCTGCAAATACAAATTTTCAATTTGAAGAAATCATCAATAAGCTTTCCTGGAGTGATTGCATCTTAGATATGCACACATATTATTCTTCTCTTAGGGAAAAAAAAAACTATAAATGCTTGAATACAACAACTCATAGTTGACACAGAAAACCTGTCAGCAAAAAAAAAATGGAGGTTGATCTTTGAACAAAAGCGGGAAATATCCAAATGGGGAAAGACCAATAGTGTAGAAAAAAGTCATGAGCAACAGCAAATCAATAACGTGGACTCACAAAAATAAACAGTAACCCTGCAATAATGAACCAAGCAGCTCTAAATAAACTACCTTGTGACTCGTCTTGACCTTGACCACTATTGCTTTCCTTTGGTGCAACTCCAAAATCAGCTAGAAGAGCCTCAAGCTCTTCAAGTTCCTTTTTCTTTCTTTCCTTTTTGGAGAGTTGTCGTTCTGCCTCCTTTGGTACCACAGGAACTTCAGCGTGCTTCTTAAGCTCAGGTTCAGGTTTTACATCATGCTCTGGTTCTGGTTCATGATCTTGCTCTTCCTCCTCCTCATCCCCTTCGTCTAAAATATCTTCCTCACTCTCAGTCTCCTGTTAAAAATTGTTAAGTATCAAATTTGGAACAACATAAGATTTATCAAACCATATAAAGCAATAAACCACACAAAGAAAACACATAAGCTTGTATCATTGGCATTTAGTACATAAAAAAAAACATGTGATAGACAGTCCAAAGTTTATCATTATAACTCAGACGGACTCTAATTGCCAATATATAGCACCAGAACAAACAAAATCACACCAAGAAAACACATAGCCAAATCACTGCATACTTATATGACCGGCATTTAGCAAATAAGAAAAACACATGATAGACAGTCCAAAGTTTATCATTATAACTCAAACGAACTCTAATTGCCAATATATAGCACCAGAACAAACAAAATCACACCAAGAAAACACATAGCGAAATCACTGCATACTTATATCACCGGCATTTAGCAAATAAGAAAAACACATGATAGACAGTCCAAAGTTCGTCATTATCACTCAAAAGAACTCTAATTGCCAATATATGGCACTAGAACAAACAAAAGCACACCAAGAAAACACACAGGCAAATCATTGCATACTTATATCACTGGCATTTAGCACATAGAAAATAAAAAATGAACATGTTATATACAGTCCAAAGTTTATCATCATCACTCAAATGAACTCTAATTGCCAATAGCACTAGAACAAACCAAATAGAACAAACTAAACAAAACCATATTATCTTCCCAAAGAGAAAAATACTACCTTGATGAAACCATCAAGATTCAGGTATCCTAATAAGAATAGTCATAACCAAAGCCAACTGTGCGCGTAAAGGAAATGTATCACGCAAACACATTGTTGGTGAAAAATATTCATTAAAACTTTACTTGATATAATAAGCATTATGATAAATATTCGAAGAGTTTAAGGGTATATCTTATGAAATAGCTATAACATATTTTCAACTTATATTCATAAACTACCAAAAAAATTGCAGAAACATCTTATACATGAGTCGTGGAGAATTTCACCTTATTCCCTTTTCAATTGTAAATCAAGTTATATATAAACATTTAGTAATAAACAGATTCTATAAAACATAATGATGAAAACTACTCAAACTACCCTATATATCAATAGTCATCAACAATATAAGCAATGCACCCAAAAATAATATCAATGTATGAATAAACAATCAACAACAACATACCTCGAAATTTTCTTGTTTATCCTCACTTCGCTGAGGCTCAGAAACAGACCAAACAGATTGAGGCGGTGCAGTGGTAGCATAATAATCATCATCATCATCATCATCCACATCACCCCACGAAGTTGCATTCAGTGGAGCCAGAGCCCAAAAGAGCTTTGAATCAGATTCAGCTTCCAATTTCCCCGATTTAGAACCCTTACTCTTTTTCTCCTTATCCGATTTCTTCTTCTTCTTCAAAGTATCAAGCGCCGCAAAAACATTGGTGTTGTTAATTACCAACGAACCATCGTCCCTTCTGCTTCCACCACCAACCATTGTCAATCACAACAATTCACCAACAACAAAAACAGTAGTAATAACTCCAATTTGTATCGTCGGTTCAAATCAAAATAGTGACGGAATCGACTAAAATCGTGAATCGGTTCTTTGTATATTGAAATTGAAACGTGGTTTCAGAGGTGGTTGAGATCTGGGATTTGGGGAGAAGATGAAAATGTGAAATTGGGGTGAATTGGGATTAGGGTTAGGAGAAGAAACGAAAGAGAATGAGATAGAGGCGGTTCGGTTCCTAGTTAGGGTTACGTAGAACAAGACGGAGAAGATAACGAAATACGAAAAGAACGATCTCGTGTTAGAGCATTTATATGTAGTGTGATTTTTTTACTGTTTTTCTTTTTTCTTTTTTCTTTTTTTTTATTAATTAATGTTGTAATTAAGTAAATAATTATGTTTTCCGCTCACATTGATTATTATTGAAGTTTTGTTTTAAAACAAATAAAACGAAATTGAATGAAATAGGATACTCTTTTATTGTTTGAGTGAATTGAAAACGCTAAAATAAAGAAGAAAAATAAAGCAATTGGTTTGTTGTACTGATTACTGAATTACTAGTAGTTTATTTAACTTAAATTTGCACACAAATTACTTAGAATTAAGGATCAACCTCATCTACAACAAACACGACACAGCAATTTTTCATCACCATACAATTGAAATTGTAGTATTTTCTTTTAAGACAATTTTTCATTGCATCTTATTTAATAGGGCGCATCTCTAAAAATTTAAAAATATTTTTGGATAAATTTTAAGTTACATCTGCGAAGGTATTAAATAATAATTTTTGTTTTAATTTAATTCGGAAATAGATCTCTGAATTCATTCCTGCGAAATCACTTTTCGTTCTACTAAATGTAACAATCATCTAATTTCTTAAGAAATATATTCGGAGATGAATATTGGAACTATTTTGAAATAAATTTAGATATGTATCTCCGAATTATTGTCGGGATCTTTTTTCCAAAGTCAGTTTACTAATATTTTTTGGTGTTTTCAATCCAAACTAATTTTAATTCGAGTAACATTGTCGTTATTTGTTTCAATGATTAATAAAAATAAATATTATAAAATTGAGTAATGTGTTAATATAACTGAATGTTATAGAAGCGAATATCATAAAGATTATAATAAGGCAACAATTGTTCTCCAAGTCGATTAAAAATAAACAAAATACAATAAAAAACATAGTCTACTAAGTATGCATAATCCTAACACACCGGCTCATCTTTTGCCTACGGTATAACCCAAGGTATTTCGTGCGTCGAACAGAATAGAGTGTGTTAGGGCAACCGCTTCATCACCACCTCTCTAGAACAGTCAATAATTGATGCCCTTTGTAACACCATTTAAAACCCCGCATATAATATATAGCATCATCTGAGTAAATTAATATGCATATCAAAAGAGTGTGTCACATTTACTTCACGACAACAACACAATACACTGGCCATGCTCATAACATGTATTTAGAATCATGTTCCATACAATAACACATATGCATCTCGCAGCGGAATAATTCTCATTTCAAAATAATACTAATGATTGAAATTCCATACTGACAATCATATAATAAAACCTTAGGCACTAAAAGCCATCATCACATAATCTCGCATATAACATAAATAATTAGAGAGTATAAAAAACATCTCTCAAAACAAACATGAATATAACAGTATAACAATAAAACTGAATGTTATAGAAACGAATATCATAGAGATTATAATAAGACAACAATTGTTCTCCAAGTCGATGAAAAATAAATAAAATACAATAAAAAATATAGTCTACTGGGTATGTCTAATCCTAACACACTGACTCTTCATTTGCCTACGGTATAACCCAAGGCATTTCGTGCCTCGAACAGAATAGAGCGTACTAGGCCAACCGCTTCATCGCCACCTCTCTAGAACAGTCCATAATTGATGCCCTTTGTAACATCATTTAAAACTATGCATATAATATATATCATCATCAGAGTAAATTAACATGCATATCAAAATAGTATGTTACATTTACTTCACGATAACAACACAATACATTGGTCATGCTCATAACACGCATTTAGAATCATGTTCCATACTGTAATATGGTGGGAGAACTGACTTGGGATATTTTGAGTTTATCGCAATTGTTGCGGTTAGCAAGAGTCGCCACTGACTTTTCTTTTGTCCAAAAGAAAAGACTGAAAAGAACAGGAAAGACCTTTGAGATTATTTCTTGAGTTCGGGGGGTATATTATGAAAAAGAAAGGTGTTAGCACCTTTTTCATCCATAGTTATCTATGGGCTCTTAGTTGCTTGCTAGATCACTTGCTTTGTTTGAAAATGTGCTTTGTGGTGGTTTTTGAAAGTGTTTTTTAAAAGGGCGCCTTTGTTTAGGCAAACTTTGTAATGGTTCTCGTTCGTAAGAACGTATACAAAGTGTTGGACTTTCGAAAATATTTCATGTTTTGAAAGTGTTTGGTGTTTGTTTTGAAAGTGAGCAAGGATGTTTGTTTTTAAAGTGAGCAAGCAACTAGGAATAATCTACCTACTCAAAATTCTTTTGTTCATTTCCTCCTTTCCTTTGATATTGTTATCTTACCATTGATTGGTAAGAAGCCTTATCTTTGGATGTAAAGGGACGGGCGTGGGTCGTCGTATAGTCATGATAGCAATGTTGTGAGATATCTTAGCATTTCTCTTCGAGGGACTAAGATCATTTGAAAGACAACATTTGTAGCGTCATCGATGGACTATGATCTTGTATTTTGATTGTTTTTTCTAAAACATCTCACATGCGTAACATGACCATTTTTTAGGCAACAAGTGGAGTTAATCTTAAGGGTGCATGTGTGAATAATGTGTTTGATTTGTATGCATTTAATCTTTTATTAGGGTTATCCACTAGTTGATTTTATCTTTCCATACAAACCCTAATTACTAGCATTTATATGAAAGCGATAAATTGCGGAAAGTAAAGTTACTACGCTATTACATCATTAGGGGGATGGGGTATACAAATTTACAAATGGGGATTTGCAAGAAATTAAACCTAATTATCTATTACAACCATATTGAAACTTGAATAATGTACAAGAATTAGAAGGAATATAATGTACAAGGATATAAATGGAAAAGAAATAGATTTTTGTTCGGATTTTTGAGGAAAATGGTCTTTAACCTAATTATCTAAAAGAGAAATATTAATTAAAATAAATAAAATTAAACCTAAACTAATTAAGAAAAGAAAGTATTTTAAAGATTTTTTTAGAAAAGGTTTTTGCTTTAATTAAAAAATGATGAAAATAAAAATATTTTTATGATAGTTTTTTATATTTATAAAATAGGTATTATAAATAAATAGTGTGAAAAAAATCAACTCAAAAGGAGTTATTTTGATTGGTTAAATAAAATACTAAAGTTTGTTAAAAAAGAATGAAATTAATGAAACAAACAAGTGGTAAAAAAAGGGTTTTGGTCCTGCCAAAGTTTGAACTCAGGACATCATGATCATTGGCTCAAAAGGTTACCACTAGGCCAGGCACGTTTGCTTGTCAACTATGTGTTTGCATGACCATATATGAGAAAACTGCTTCCTGAAATCACAAAAATACAAAAGGGGGTTCACATTGGTTCGAACCCTCGCCCTTATGGTTAGCAAAGACTTAATACGCACGCGCTTGCCACTGGGGTGACTTGTACATCCGATAATGAAACAACTTCCATTAAATATAAAATAAACCAAGTCCTAAATATTTTAAATCATCTTCTTCCTCCTTCATGCGCGCGCAGAACACAGTATCAACCATTGTTAACCTTGTAACTATCTCATTTCTTGACCATTTTGAAAAATACAAACATGAAACTTGCTGGAAATTTCACCATCAATTTAACCATATAATTTATTTAAGCTAAAAATCATAGGTTAAACTTAATTTTGTTTGATACCAAATGCGTGCCCTAACTGGTCAGAAGCAAAATTCTCCAAACACAAGCAAGTATAATGCAAACTAGGGACATGGTCAACTTGAGGGCAACGATGTCTACATTTTTTCTTCAGAATGTATGCACAAAAGATGCTTGTATGAAGAGATAGAAGTTTGAAAACTTACCTCTTGTAGCTGGATTTGTGTATGGAGTTTGAGCAACCTTTGAGATGGCCTTATGATTTCTTTAGCTTGCCTGGACCTCCTTGAATGTATTCCAACTCTTACTTTGCTTTGAGGATGGATAAATTTTAAGTTACATCTGCGAAGGTATTAAATAATAATTTTTGTTTTAATTTAATTCGGAAATAGATCTCTGAATTCATTCCTGCGAAATCACTTTTCGTTCTACTAAATGTAACAATCATCTAATTTCTTAAGAAATATATTCGGAGATGAATATTGGAACTATTTTGAAATAAATTTAGATATGTATCTCCGAATTATTGTCGGGATCTTTTTTCCAAAGTCAGTTTACTAATATTTTTTGGTGTTTTCAATCCAAACTAATTTTAATTCGAGTAACATTGTCGTTTTTTCCAAGGTATTTCGTGTGTCGAATAAAATAGAGTGTGCTAGGGCAACCGCTTCGTTGCCACCTCTCTAGAACAGTCCATAATTGATGCCCTTTGTAACACCATCTAAAACCCCGCATATAATATATAGCATCATCTGAGTAAATTAACATGCATATCAAAAGAGTGTGTCACATTTACTTCACGATAACAACACAATACACTGGTCATGCTCATAACATGTATTTAGAATCATGTTCCATACAATAACACATATGCATCTCGCAGCGGAATAATTCTCATTTCAAAATAATACTAATGATTGAAATTCCATACTGACAATCATATAATAAAACCTTAGGCACTAAGAGCCACCATCACATAATCTCACATACAACATAAATAATTAGAGTATAAAAAACATCTCTCAAAACAAACATGAATATAACAGTATAACAATAAAATTGAATGTTATAGAAACGAATATCATAGAGATT